TCAGATCACAAATTTCTCTAGTGAGTGCCATTCATGCCTGTTGTTCTCGCATAAATCCACCAGAGACCACAAAAGACTTACTGACTTACTGAGTGACAGATCCACTGATCACCCCACCCTCATTCTTCCCTAAACCCAACAAATAGTATTTTAAAAAGCACCAATTGACCCACCCACCCCTTCCCTAATGCCAACCACAGTGTTTTGAAAAGCAATCCAGAAAAAAAGAATAGCTCTCTTATTTTTACATTTTCAGATTTCACCATATTCTCAGCCTGTTATTTACTTGTTTATTTTATGTTTTGGCTTATGTTTTTGTCTTACCCGCTTTCTGGAATTATTCTTCGCCAGACTCGAACCCTAGCATCGTTATCAACTCCTCTCTGCGTCTAAAGTCCAACATTATACATGGTGAGGTAACTGGACAAATTGGTAACAGCAGAAAAGTTGTCCATACAGAGGTAATCGGTCAGCTGATAAGCGAGAAAAGGAATGGCATCATACCGCCCTGTATCATTCATTATAAAAATCAAATGCAGCTATACGAAGCTCTGGCTACATAATTTGCGATCTCCAGAAATGTATATAGGGCTACGTTTTCAGAATAAGTCTATGTTAAAAAAAAGCACAAAATCACTGTTTCCTATCTCTGCGATCTTCATGGTTAGTCCACATATTTTTTATCAACATTACTCCTCAAAGTCCTCCTTTTACAGTTTAAGTGTAAATTTAATAGAAAAAATAACCCCTGCCACTGCTTTTAAGCCAGACTGGAATCAGCTGTGGTTGGCCCAATTTACCCAACATAAATCAGCTGTGGGTCAATTAGTCAACTGTTTATTTATGATCATGATCATGATATTGATATTGTTTTTGAACTGATATTATTGCAGAAGCAGAGGTTTTTATACTGTATCTAAGGTTTGGATTATTGTTTGTGCTATTGTGGGATGTTGTGTGTTAACATTCGTAAATACTACAAAAACAATTCATCATTTTGTTGGGAGGAATAGCTTGTCTGCTAAAAAAATTTGACAACCCAGGCTCATTTTGATTACGTACCTCTATATACATTTCTGGAGAGAGCAAAACACATCCCAGGAGATATGTTTTTCTGCAGTTTTTGTTTTTGCTAATCCACCAGAAGCCGCCTTGTATGCTTTTTCAGATCTCAAATTTCTCTAGCAGGTGCCATTCGCTCCTGCTGTACTTGCATAAATCCACCAGAGGCCGCTGCTGACCAACTCAATGACGGACTGACCAACCGACCAATCCCCCACCCTTCCCCTTCCTTAAACACAACCGATAGTGCTTTGAAAAGCACCTATTGACCTGCCTACTCACTTCCCTAAACCAAACTGCAGTGTTTTAAAAAGCAATCCAGAAGCCCTCTGTTTTTTACGTTTTTCGATTTTACCACATTCTTAACCTGCTATTAACTTGTTCATTGTTATTTTTTTGGCTTCTGTTTTTGTTTTACCCACTTTGAAACTGTTCTTTACCAGTCTCAAACCTCATTAACTCTGCTCTGCATCTAAAGTCCACCAACTTACGTGTCATCCACATGCAGGTAAGCGGTCAGCTGGTTAGCAAGTAAAGGAATGGCGTCATACCGCCCAGTACCGTTCATTTGTAAGACGAAATGCAGTCATACGTAGCTCTGGTTACATAATTCATGATCTACAGAAATGTATATATGGCTTTGATTTCAGAATGAGCCTATGCCAAAAATTAAAGCATTGTGGAAATGTGTTCACTGACTGCATATTGGGTGAAAACAACATGAAATATGTAAATAGTATGGCCACAAAACGCTGATGCTGTGTTCATTGCCTAAAGAGTTTTGAAAATGTGACAACAGGTTGGACAAACGCTTGTTAGGGACAGAAAAAAACTGTAATCTAGAGTTAGTTAATGGTTTTTTTAATACCATGAATTGTGACCAAAACTAAAATGTTACCAAAACATGCAGTTAGATATTTAGTTGGCCTTTTGTTAATTGTTCATGTAACGTTATGCACACATCAAAATAGGACATCTGTTTTTTACCCATGCTCATTCCTTTTATAAAAACAAAAACTAACATAATTTATTGAAGCTACAATAAAACATGCATTGCTTTGTTGGTTTTGTCTGTATATATCCTCAGCATTTAACAGCCATTTAATTCTTCCGTCAGAAGCTTTGCAAAGTCCCCAGCAATTATGAGTATGCCCAATTTATGATGTGGTGCGCCTGAGTGCAAATATTTGGTTTCACTGTGTTCTATCTGGGGTTAAACCCATATTATGCACTTCAAAGTTTAAAAAAAAAAAAAAAAAAAAAAACGCTTGCACATGCGTGGAGTGTGACGCTGGTCTCCTCAGCCAAGTTGTCTTTGTAAAGGGGTTTGTTTAATTTACATCGGGTCATGTGCAGAGGTCATACTTGTGATTTTGCAAAAGACTTTGCTTGAGGTCACCGATAAACTTTCCAGATGTGCCAGAATGTCAAATGTGCATAAGCAGAAGCGTGTAATTTTGTGACATGACGATATTAAAGATGGCAGTTTGGTTTCTTGAGCAAAAACTTCACGGGCAGCTCACCATAATTTAAGGTTTTACTCACATTCAGCCATTTAAGTGGAGAAATGTAGGATAAAATAAATAAAATATTTAAAGATATAAACAAAGACTGGAAGACCAAAAATAAAAGTATTACTAATAAACACTTGACTGACATTTCATAACAAACGGGACATTCTGACAATGTTCCCTATTCATTTTGAGAAACTACTGTAGAAATAAATAAATAAATAAATATATATATATATATATATATATATATATATATATATATATATATATATATATATATATATATATATATATATATATAGGGACTTAATATATATGGGGACTTAAGCTTTAGATTTTTTGAATTATAGCTGCATTGCAAACCTTTAAATTTGTAAAAACAATGTAGTTAATCGATCTGCACTGGGAACTCAGGATGGACTTGTGTGAAACCCAGCATTTTTTAACAATGCAAAAACAATTTTTACAGTGCAAGTGCTGTCCTAACAAACCCTACATCAGTCAAAGGAAAGACTATGGATTCACTGTGTGGTGTAGGCCTATCAAAAATGTTTCAGTCATTTCCAAAAATTTTCAGTCATGACTGGTCTTGTGGTCCTGGGTCACATTTATGTGTCACTCAACCAAATTTAAATGTTTCGAATTGGTGAAATGAACAAAAACAAATCTAATAAATACTGTAAAAACACATTCTTACATTATATTATATACTTATGTAGCATAAATATTTTAAGATCAATTACCCATCTACTGTTGTGAGAGTAGGTTATTTAGTTTTATTTGTTTAGTATCAGCATTTCTCTAAAGTATCTGCTAGTATTTTCTCTCTCTCTCCAGAGGTTGGCTGATGAGCCGTGACTGTTCATGTGTGCTCGAGAGTCTTGATCCAGAACAGCGAGCTCATGCAGCCTCATTGTCCTCCTACAAGGGGTTTGTGTGCGCAGAAGAAGCTCAGTTTGTTTAGCTCAATGGAGCATTTTAACCCGCATGGCCAGATGCCCGGCCCAACATATGGTGAGAATCCACTCAGAGAAGATTGAAAATTCATGGAGCACTCACCGACTCTCTGGTATATATCACACGAGGCCAGAGGTCAATCGGAAAAAAGATTAGACTTTGGTTTGTCGGTCAGTCTTTCTGATTTTTATTTTTCTGTAGTTAAATGAGTAATCTTGGAGAGCAGCACCACCGTGTGGGCATCAGATGAATAACAATTTTAAAAAAAACTACTGCACTCATAAAGCTCAAAAACAGTCAAGCCTATTCGATCTATAAAGAAATATGAAAAAATAATTCATGCTTTTATTACTTCTAGGTTGGACTACTATAACTCAATATATTTCGGGATTAGTCAGACAGCTCTATCCCGTTTACAATTAGTTCAAAATGCTGCTGCAAGGCGTTTAACTGGTATCAAAAAACATGACTATATCACACAGTCTTACACTCTTTGCACCGGTTGCCTGTGTCACTTTTAAAATTCCTCTCTTGGTTTTTAAATCACAAAATGGCTTGGCACCTTCTTATCTGTAATATCTGTTGACTGAACATTAGCCTCTTCGATCATCAAATGTATCCCCATCAAATGTAATGCTCTGCCCCTCTGTATTAGATCTATATCATCTCTGTCTGTTTTTAAATTTAGGTTGAAAACAAGGGTGGACTTAGTGATTTCAGGGCCCTAAGCAATTCCAGATATGGAGCCCCAGCGTTGAAACTCAAAACATCTTCTTTTTCTATAGATATTTTTTCTCTCTTGATTCAGTTTTTTTTTTTTTTTTTTTATAAGTGAAACCTTCTTAATGTAAAATGGAATACAATAAATTCACAAATTAAAAACAAGTTTACAAACTACAGTTAGTTAACCGTACTGGTGGTTAGATATTTATATTTGCATGTTTAGTATAGAAGGAACGTTCCACTATCCATTGTGGTCCACGGTTTATAAAAGAAGTAACAACGTTAAAATCCTAATGATTATAGGCAGATTTTAGAATGATATAAAACATTTAAAAGACCTCGTCATCGGTGGGGGCCCCCAATTTCCCTGGAGCCCTAAGGCTGCTCACCTTGCTTATTGGTAAAGTCCGCCCCTGGCTAACAACGTACCTTTTTGATTTGGCATTTTATCAGTGAGAATTGTGTGTTTTAGTTGAAATTGTATAGTCTTCCTCTTTGTTATTTGTAATGTGCACCACAATGGTCAACCTTTTCTTGTGTTTAATAGTGCTATATAAACAAAATTGACATTGACAGTGACAAAGCTGTGTTGCTTGGAAACAACTATATTTTGTTAACAGATTACAGAAATGTAATTGCAAATGCTGTACATTTTTATAATTCATTTCCTGTAGGCAAAAACAAAATATAAACAAGGCACAACTGCCATGTAAATATCATATTAATTTGTAATTCATACTTCTGATGGGTCAGAGTAAACCAAACTAAACTAAAAAAAAACAAAATGCTCAGAAATCAGAAATGGATTTTACAACTAATTGTTATATATTTTTTATTAATCCATATATTATACATTATACATACTCGTGCGTACACAATCACAGCTTAATCATTTTATGATGAATGTAGAAATGCAGATCGTGCACAGGTATTTAGGTAAAAGCTTCTCATATACAGATCATCAAAATAAACAACAATGTACACTAAAAGTACTCTTCTATATTGTTATTTTGGTGTGTGTGTGTGTGTGTGTGTGTGTGTGTGTGTGTGTGTAAAGATTGTATATTAAATATACTGCATTTACTGTAATAGGAGTGAGGTAGAGATGCTTTTTATCCCTAGGCATGTTAAAACCAAAGTTCTGTCTTTTAGGTTCACCTTTGTGCATCAGAACAGAGCACCATTTTTACATCCCAAAGAAAAAATAAAATTAAGCAATATTACTACAATAAATTATTACAATTACTACAATAAAAGAGCATGCATGCAGAAATAGTCCACCCCCCCAAAAAAAAAGTCATATTTACTGCCCCTGTTGTTCCAAACCTGTTTGAGTTTCTTTCTTCTGTCGAACGCAAAGGAAGACACCATGAAGAGTGTATGAAGAAGTATTTTTTGTTCCTTCTTTGGATGTCAATGGCAATTTTTTCCTAACATTCTGAATATTTTGTTTTGTCTTTAACAGAAGAAAGAAATTTAAAAAGTTTAGAACCACTTGAGTAGGGAAAATAACGAGTAAATACTCATTTTTGGGGTGAACTACACTGTAAAAAAGTTGACTCAACTTAAAGTTAAGGTAACAAACTTCAGGACATTTGAGTTAACTCAACTTAAATCGAGTCAAGTGCAGCAATTGGGTTGAAAGTTGAGTCATCTTAAAACAACTGAAGTTTGTTGCCTTAAAATAAGATTTTTATTGAATTTTTTTAAAGTGAAGCTTTAACTGAGAAAACACATTTTACACTGTTGTCACATCATCTTGTAGTACATACTTTACAAAACAAAACCTGACAGGCACCAATAAATTGTTATTGAGGTAAGAATGCTGGAGATGATCATCAAAACCGATCTTAATTACAAAGTGCCAAAAGCTACTCTGCTTTCACCATTATATGCTGATTTTTTTATTCATATTTGAATTATTGGAGTCTGAATGTTATGTTAGATAACCAAAAGAAAATATGTCCTCCTCTTGGTGTTTGGCGATTATCCACATGGTGAAGCGATGCAGCTTCTCTGATGAACAGGGTTCTTCATGGCTGTGGCCGTGCTGCCTAAATCATTCAGTCCAAATCGTATAGAGGCCATTGTCTGGAAATACTGGCCAAGAAATTCAGTCTCTGGCTTTGCTTTCTCCCAGAACTGCTTTTCGTTTGAAGTGAGTTCATTTCCTTCAGGTATCTACAGTAAATAAGTAAAACACAGAGGCTTTAATTTAAATGGCAAGAAAAATATTAAATGTGCTACACTGCCACCACATGGCCAATAAACAGATTTTTTGTTTATTTATTTATGTTTTTTATGTATTTATTTATTTATTTATTTATCAATATTATTGTTGTTGTCGGTGATAATAATAATAATTTGTTGTTATAATAATAATAATTATTATTATTATTATTATTATTATTAATTATTATTATTATTATTATTATTATTATTATTATTATTATTCAAAATGCGATTTCAGCATTTTTTTGTTTGTGGTGTTTTACGGTTTGACGGAATATTATCTTAATTAAAACACAAAATATATAAGGAACAAAAAGCATCTTACTTCAGCAGATAATCTTTGCAGCCAGAGTTTCTCTTCATCTGTGAACTCCATTGCAGAACTGAAACAAGTAAATGCCTCAGTTATAGCAATTTACTTAATTGGCTTGAGAAATTTGACATTAAAAATTTAAAAGTAAAACACCTTTTAGGGCTATCTGCCCCCAAAACCATAGAACCCCCAGTCTATCTATTAATTCTGATGATATCTGGGTCAGAAAATAAAACATCATAACCTGTCAAAGTGCCGTTTGTTTTAAAGGATAACACCAGCAATATTTGAAACAACTTTTGAGGGCGTGCAAAAATGAAAGTGAAATTAAGCTCATCGTTCAACGCGGAAGTATGCTATTTAATTTATGGATAGTCTTTCTTTGCAATCAAGACCTTGAAAAATATTAATAATCATAATAAAAAAAATATCCTGATACATATTCTTGTGTACTACATAGCCCAGCAAATACAGCAAGTGTTAATTTTAGAAGTAGATATCGCATTATAAAAATAAATTAGGCATTTCACTTAATGGGCTTTATATAGGTTATACACTATATGCATGTTGAGGTTATGTCTATGTTATTGACGTGTCACATATCTCCAAAATCACCAATGTCCATTATATTACGGTTTACTCTTTACCTTTTCTCAAACAGCACAAACAAATTGACTTACCTTTTTAGGGCAATAATTTATTGAAGAATAAAAAACCCAAATCCTTATTCTGTCGTAATAAACATCGCCTCTGTATCCAAAAGCATTTCTGTCCAGCAACAGAATATTTTGTGAGTACGTTAACGTTAAACACAAAGCGAAAATAAACATTCAGACAAGAGAGCTGTAAAAACGATCTGTTTCGGAAAAGTCGATGCAGTTCACCAGAGACGTAAAACTGCAATATGCTCAAAATATTTAAAAGAAAATAGAAATTAAATCCAATTCAAAGTCTGGTGCTTGTTCACTACTCTCGCGTTTATTTGCTTTGACTTGCAGTGCAGTCACGTGATTTCTTCTCAGTCAGCTGAAGAACCCAAGTGAAAGAGAAAGTAGCCTAATACAAAGTTTCACCAAGCATAAGCGACAATGTCCATCTAATCTTCTCTACTTCTTTCCTTGTTCACGTTTTACAAAGAAATATCGGAAAGACTTCAAAAGTGAGGATTCATAGGTTATTTATACAATAGTTAACAATAATAAAAATCCATTGTAGAATTTGTTCACAGTTATCAAAATAAACGACTTAAATGACTTAATATCTGTACTTGGACATAATTTATAATGCTAGATAAATCGTGATGATTCTGTAGTGGGAGTGCATCTCCATAAAATCTAATATACTATATATAAACTTTTTGAGATCCCCGACACATTTTCATTTGTTTCTTTATTGTGGATTTGATGCTTCTGTAAGCGATTTGAGTCTAAGAAAAGCTCTTAATAAATAATCATTATCAAAGTTATAATTTATTAATGATAAATATATTATTATTGTTGTTGTCTGTGCTATTCACAGAGCATTTCTGTATTTGCATTTATTGTATTTTCATGCATAACAATCAATGAATACAATCAAGAAAAATATACAATTGAAAAAGTGTTTTGTCGTTTTCCAAGTCTAACGATGTTCAAGCACAGTAACTGAATGATAAAAAATAAAAATATTTCAATAAGATTAATCGTTGTTAAGGTTACAAATAGTACAATTTGTTATGCCTAAATGTATTTAAGGGCAATATACAATCACAGAACTCAGGAACAGATGAAAATGATGAATTATAATCCAGACTCAACATTGTCATATTGTTATATGTGACTATTGCGAATGATCATATTGCAATATCGATGCTAAAACGATATATTGTGCAGCCCTACATTCATGTATATTATAATTGCCAACCCAACGTTAGCAGATGCACTGTTTGTTTTTAATTGTGAAGCTTTCGATGTGTTTTAAGTAATCACAGCACAAGTGAGACATAAAATTGGAAATATTTATTTTTTATTTCTTTAACACATCAGGATCACTTCCAGACATTACTGTCATTTTTCCTTATCCACATACATCGACAGAAAAGCCTCTTTCCTCTAACAAACAACTATGGCTATGTGACGAATAAGCATTCCCAGAATATTTAATATTACAGTTGATTTGAAAGCAAAGTATTGTAAATCAGATCTACAGACTTTAGGACAACTGACTGATTCATTACACAGTATTGTCAGTGATTTAAAAAGGAAGCCCCTGAATAACACACTGATCCAGCTGAGAGGTTACGGCTGATCTAGAGCACCACATTGTTGCCCAGTGGTGTGTTGAGTTTATGGCGTGTGAAGTAAGAGTTGAGGTTTGTGGAGATCAGAATTCTTCCTCTGCGTTTCGGGTTCTGGAGGCTTTCAGCTGTTTGAGGCGCTCCATGCAGTCCGTCAGACTCCTCTCTCCGTGCACCTTGTTGTCACGAGTCCTAACATTCACTGTGTCGCTGCTCTTCTCCTTCTCACCCACCACTGTCATTGAAAATTGTGAAAGGTAAGATCACAATTAATCCACGATCACTTTATGCATCTGCAGCTGACGGTTTTCTTTTAAAAGAGCTGCAATTAAATGGATTATTCACACAAAAACAATTGTTTCAGTGTTTGAGTTTCTTTTTTCTGTTGAACACAAAACTAAGTGCTTTAGAAAAGTGTTGGAAACTGGTAACCATAGATTTTCTAAGAATTAGTTTTCCTACTATGGAAATCAATGGTTAAAGGTTTCTAACATTCTTCAAAATGTCTTCTTTTGTGTTCAACAGAAAGAAAAAAAAACACTTCAATAACGACTGCTACTTGTTTAAAACAACTTGAGAATAAGTAAAAAGTGAGTAAATTTTCATTTATTGGTACACTATCTTTTTAAGAGTTAACTTGTGAATTGGAAATCAATGTATTATTTCCGATGTGTAACAAAACTTGTATAACATCATATTAAAACTATCACAACAACATAATTTTAGCATGTCAACAGGATGCTGGTGAATTACAAAGTAGTGCAAACATAACATATTCACTATGGCCAGATGCTTTGTAAAATTCTGCTTTTTTTTACCACTTTAAATTTTCCTGTGCTCATTTTGTCATTGTGATGAAGTTAAAGCAGTGTTTCCAGGAAGTTTGTTTCAACAAACAGTGCCTTCAACATCTTTTTATTTAATTTTAGAAAATGTAATTTTCTGTGAGTTTGTGGAGTGCTTGCTTTTTAAAGAAACAACTATACTGGTGACCTTTACTTTGTCAGTTATAAAATAAATATACGGGCAGATAGTTACAATGTTTGCATAAATTGATGTTGGTAAACAGGAGAACACCAAGATTTTAAAACTGTCTAAACCAGGGGTGTCTTGGAGGGCCAACTGCAATCAGACACACCTTAAGACCCCTGTATGCTGAAATACTATAAAACAGTGGTTTCTCAAGCTTTTTTCACCAAGTACCACCTCAGAAAAAATTGTCTCTCCAAGTACCAAGGGCAGTATTGAAATACAGTAGCGTAGTTGGCCTAGTAAAGCAGCTACAGCTCTCCACAGATTAAAAACGTGTCAGATGAATTACTATTATTAAAAATATTAATTAGTGTCAGCCATTTAAACATTATAAATAGTCTGAACATGAACACTGTGCTGTGCTTGTATGTAAAAAACAAACAAAACCAAAAAAAACCCATCAACATTTAAACTAAAATGTGCTGTTAATAGTAAAAATGGTAGGTTACTGTTTATAAAAAGTAAAAAAGAAAACTCCTGTACTTAAATTAAAAGTATTAACATATAGTGGCAAATTCATCAACACCTGGAAATGTTGCCTGGACCTCATAAATATAGGCTATATGTCATCATATTCATATATAAATAATTTGTAATAAATTTTGAAATATATGTAGCATTTACATATGACATATTTGATTCCTTCGCGTACCACAAGTGGTACACATACCACAGTTTGAGAACCACTGCTATAAAATACACAAGACGTGTCACTCGTATAGTTTTGAATGGGAAAAAGCCATTCAAATATTTCACTATTTTCATTCACCATATTTAACAGCCAATATGATGAATGAAGCCCCGCCTTCTAGTACAGGAGCCAATCATCGATCACTATAGACTGACGATTCTCCAGGGGAGGGGCTCAACTTAGACGTAGTTTGACGTAGCAGTTTCTGCAGATTTTGTTCGATTTAAAACGTTTAAAATTAAACTAAAGAGACATCTGTTGCTTAATATTACTCGTGATTCCAAATATGAAATTTAATAGTAAGCTTGGCATAAAATGTTGGAGAATTTGATGTTTCCCCATTCAAACAGAATGCCCAAGCACACTGCCCGAGGGGCGTTTCAAAGACGGCCGCTGAGTGAAATGACTTGCCTTAAAGAGACTTTGGTAAACTTCAAACAAAATTGAAAAAAGAACTGAAATGATGTAATGTAATTTTCGGCCGTAACAAAAAAAGAAACATTGAGTTTGTTTCAGCACTCCACCAAAGCAAAGTTTTTGGGGGTGTTTGTATTGATCCTAAACACCTTTAAGCTACCATTGGGTCAGTGACGACAATGCAATCTATGAGTTTGTTCTTAAACTCTGCCTTCAATAACTTACTTCGTATTCTTGTAGTTCATAGTTAGGTAGGAGGAAAACATCCAGCACAACAACACCAATAGCAACAAAAATACACTAGAGGGTTGAGTAGCAGCGCTGGTACAGATGTATAGATTTTAAAAGCACAAACCAGACGAGCACATGAGGGTTTTGTACGGTTCGGAAACAGTACACCGTCACTCAGCCTTTTTAAACTTCTTTTTATTGTCAAACGAAGATCGAAAAATAACTTTGTTTGAAATATACCAAGGCCCTTAGACAGGTAATCAAGGTCTTACTAGGCTTGCCAGAAAAAATCCTGGCAGGTGTGTTGAGGAATGTTGAAGCTAAACTCTTCCCGACACCGGCCCTCCAGGACTGAGTTTGGGCAGCCCTGATCTAAAGGGTTTTCTAAAAAAAAAGTTATGTTGGATCACTCACCTAAAATGAAGTTGTACTGAGCTAACTGAGCATTCCTGATCTTCTTGTTCAGAGTACAGCCTGGGTCCAAGTCCACATCCGTCATCAAACCAACTTTGTGGAACTCCTTTTGTACCTGAGAGTGACAAAGGTTTCTAATTAATTAATTAATTCTAATAACGGTCTTGTAATTCATGTTAGAATCAGAGCTGACAGACACCAATTTACTCTAAACTGTGAGCAGCATACACATTAATGTTTAACATGCTTATTATAGAAGAACAACGTATGAAATTATTAATGAGCAAATATATTTACAAACTGATTACAGCACATTAAGACAGACAGACAGACAGACAGACAGACAGACAGACAGACAGACAGACAGACAGACAGACAGACAGACAGACAGACAGACAGACAGAGAGGTTTTGGGACAATTTTCACATAATAGCTAACCTGCATATCAGGCTTCGGGCCTAGTTTAGAAAAAAAACTTTTTCAAAAACACTTAATGAGATCTAATGCATGCGGTCCGGAAGTGCCAGTGATGCCTTGCACATAGAGATTTCCAGCCACGTGCAATGGAGAACATAAAGAGAAAAATTGCTAATGGCGAACTTGGTGAAAAAATGCTAGAGGAAAGGCAAACTTCTGGTCAATTTTTTAAATACTGACAACTTTAAATAATGAGCCTACTACTTATGCACAATGCACAACTTGTAAATTGAGTAAACTCACTGTGGACCACATACCGCTTGGATATAGATATCACTTAAAGAAGTAACACTTACATAAAAAAGACTCCAAACATTTCTCTAAATTATTCTGATAAAAAAATAAAATGAAATGAAAAAACATCAACTTTCAATTGAATACATATCTGGTCTATTTTAATAGCTGTAACAGTATACGCTGTTTTGCAGAAAAAAGACATATAGCCTGTGCGTCTTGGGCCAGGGCTTAGATTTAAGGCTTGCTGCAGGGCTCTAAACTAAATATTAAATCTTAAAAATTATTTTTTTTTTTTATTAAAAACACTTGTGAATGAACTAAAAGCACTAGATGAATATGCTAATTTACATCATGATCAATTTGTATTGATCTATTTAAAAAAAAAAAAAAAAAGGGAGGAAGTGTAAAAAAAATCGGTATCAGAATCTGTCAAAAGTTTAATAAAATAAGTATCAGCCATAAAAAAGTGCACCTTTTGTAAAGCAATGACAATAAAGAGAAGGAGTTATACTAGGAATACTATTTAATTAAAAGTGAAATAAATTAATGTAATTAAAATTTAATAAGCAACAATGCACTTAACTGATCAAGTGTAAAGGCATTGTAACAATGCTACTAAATATTTACATCTCAAGTAACCTTTTTCATTAGAATTTTCTATTCATTAA